GAAATTCTTCTAACTTGTGAAGACACATTTCATTTTGACAGAATTGGCTCTCTGGAAAAGCCTTTTGTCTGCTTGGGGTCAACAGTAGACAATCCAGAGAACTGGATTTTCTTTCCACCTATACATTAATTAGGGAAGAAGTAAGCAAGTAGGCTAATTCCTCATCATGAAACGCTCCGGGGCCCCAGCACCATGCAGGGGACCCAGCTAGGGTGCTGAGGCGTTAATGAGCTATAATTGCTTCCTGCCCTGCCTCCCCGTGGATTTTCGCTTTTACACATAGGCCTTGGGGGCCTCAGCCCAAAGGAGCATGATGGATGATGGAACTTAATTTGGTCCCTTTGGGTAGAAGGGCCTTTCAATAATACAGAGCAAAGTCCTCCGTTGAGGGCGAGCCATACTGAGTTAATCATTATACTCTTTTACTGTGAACTAAATGGAGAAATAGTTCTCTTCTGCCATAGTACTCTTTTTAATAGACTTTACTTTTAGAGTAGTTTTAGGTTCACAGCAAAATTGAGCAGGAAGTATAGAGAGTTCCTGTATACCCCCTGCACCCACACATGCATCCCGTCCACCAGAGTGCGACATTTGTTACAACTGAGGATCCTACACTGGCACCCAACGGCCTTAGTTTACATTAGAGTTCACTCTTGGTGTTGTACATTCCATAGGTTTTGACAAATGTGTCATGATGTGTATTCGCCATTAGAGTATCATACAGAATAGTGTCAATGCCCTAAAAATTCTCTGTGCACCACTTACCCATGTCCCCAGCCCCCGGCAATCACTGATCTTTTAACCATCTCCATAGTTTGCTTTTATCAAAATGTCATATAGATGAATTCATACAGTATGTAGCCTTTCCACATTGGTTTCTTTCACTTGGTAATATGTGTTTAAGATTCTTGCATGTCTTTTCATGGCTTGAAAGCTCATTTCTTTTAGTGCTATGAAGGTGACTGTCTGTGATCCAGGAAACAGGCGCTCACCAGATACTGAATCTGCCAGTGCCTTGGTCTTGCACTGCATCCTCCGGAACTGAGAGAAATAACTTCCTGCTTATAAGCCACCCAGTCTGTGGTTGGTTGGTATAGCAGCCCAAGCTGGCTAAGACAACAACTTTTTTTTTTTTGCGGTATGCGGGCCTCTCACTGTTGTGGCCTCTCCCGTTGCGGAGCACAGGCTCTGGACGCGCAGGCTCAGCGGCCATGGCTCACGGGCCCAGCCGCTCCGCGGCATGTGGGATCTTCCCGGACCGGGCGTGTCCCCTGCATCGGCAGGCGGACTCTCAATCACTGCTCCACCAGGGAAGCCCAAGACAACAACTTTTTAAGATGTGACTGACATGCAATAAACTGTACGTACTCAGTTTTATTGAGGTATAATTCACATACGACTCAATTCATTCTTTTAAAGCGTATGATTCAATAATTTTTAGTGTATTCACAAAGTTTACACATATTTAAAATGTACAACTTGGCACATTTTGATATAGGTACATACCCCTAAAATTATCACCATAATTAAGACAGACATAATTAAAACATAGTTAAGACATAATTAAAACTTCATTACCCAGAAGTTTCCTCATGCCCATTTGTAATTTCTTTCCCTCCTTTCTGGCCACCACTGATCGGCTTTCTAGCCTATAGAGTCATTTCTATTTCCAAGAATTTTATATAAATAAAATCATAGAGTATGTACTTTTGTTTGTTTTTGGCCTGGCTTCTTCATTCAGCATAATTATTTTAAGATTCATCCATGCTGTAGCATGATATCTATAGTTTATTATTTTGTTTTTTGCTGCGAAGTATTCAGTTGTATGATTATACCACAATTTGTTTATCTATTCACCTGTTGATGGGAATTGGGCTGTTGCCGGTTTGGGGCCGTTACAAAGAAGCTGCCATCAACGGTCATATACAAATCTTTGCGTGACTTATGCTTTCACTCTTTGAGGGTAAATAGCTAGGATTCGCATGGCTGGGTCATGTGGAAATCATATGTTTTAACTTTTTAAGAAGCTGTCAAACTGCTTTTCCAAAGTGGTTGTATCATTTTGCACCTGCTCCAGTGCTGTATGAGGGTTCCAGGTACTCCCCATATCCTCCCAACACCTGGTATGGTCAGTTCCTTTCATCTCAGCCATTCTAACTGATGTGTAATGGTGTGCCCCACAATTTAAACTCCGCTGGTCCTAACTGCCTCGGAGGTCCCTCTGCACACCACCCAACATCACTTCTCCAAGTCTTCTCTATTCTTGCGAAGTGGATGCTTCTCTGTCCACCCCTCATCTTAAACAATCTTCCTTTAACATTCCACGTCAGTGCTCCCGGTGTCTCGGGTTGAACCAAAGTTTCTCTACATATATACATACCTGTATAATTCTGTGGATAATGTTTTTCCAAAGCGTATTTGCATTATGATGAGATCCTCTGTGTGACTGTTTTCCCCACTCAAGGTTGGAGACCTAATACAGGGCTGGGCACATCATAGGTTTGCCGTAATGAATGCAAACTGACAGAGACAGGACTTGTCACCCTGTGGGTGGTACTCTTTCCCTACAACCTGAAAAACATAGCTCCACTCTCTCTGGTTTGAAGAGCTCTGTAATTACAGTAATTGTTATTTGAAACTTATTGATCAGAAACAGTGTGCTGCTATGGGAACACTTTTAAATAAAATGAACAATTGTCCTCATTCTTAAAAACATCCTTTAGATATAGAAGGCAAAAGATAAATGAAGTCGAAGAAACTCATGGACTTCAAGGAAATTAAGTTTTGTCTGAATGAGGGTCACACAGTCTGTCTTCACTCTATGATTTTAATGTTTCCTGTCTGAAGATTCTGTGTATTTTTGAGTGAACTAGAGTTGTCGTAATGCCTGTAATATTCTTTTTGATGTTGATGAGTGGGGAAGGGGCAGGGTTGAGAAACATTTATGTCCTAGCATCTTCTGAGAAATTCTTAGTAGTCAACGTCTGCAAGTTTTCCAACTCCCCAGAAAATAGTCGGTCTGATGTGGTTTTTATAGGTTCACAGGAGGGAGAGGCAGAAACATAAAAGAGTAAGCTGGTTTCCAAAACAGTAGTTTCTGGTAATAAGGGGATGGTAAAGAGGTTAAGTTTCAAAGTCTGATTAGAAATCGCAGCTATGGAATTTGGAGTGATTGTCACTGAGGCTTTAAAGCCTGTGGATTTGGCCTGCTGTGCACAGACAGTGGTTCTTGATTTTTTAACCCAGAGCAAAGTGGCAGCAGAGCACAAAAACATATGCAGCGTCTTCTGGGGGATACTGAGTGTGCTGGGATAATGTTCAGAATTCACCGGCAACTAGATGAGTTAAAAGAAAGCACCACAATGTGGGAAACTCTAAAGCAATCTGGCTGACTAATCAAAAGTATTTTGAAATAGTCCATAGCGGGTTTTGTTCCAAAGCCAAGTAACTCCATCCATCACAAGCTAAATAAAGCCCTAGTAAGATCAATGCGATCATAGTAAGATGAGGAGGTTTATAATTAAAGCCCATGACAAAGTGACCTGTGCAAGAATACAGTGTAAAGCCGGCCGTGCTTCTCAAATTCTCATGTGCGCATGAACCACCCGGGAGTCTTGAGAAAATGAGGGTTCCAGTTCCGTAGGTACAGGCTGGGGCCTGAGATTCTGCATCTTAAAACAGCACTCATGTGGTGTGGATGCTGCCTCTCCTCAGACCACACTTTGGGTTGCAAATGCAGAGACTTAAGTGAATGGGTTGCTTCTCCCTCTTTTATATCATCACGGAAATGTCCTGTGAAGCTCTCTAACAAAGTAAGTAAGTCTATTGTTAACAGTCCTATTCATCTCAGGAGGGTATGTAAATCAATTCTGATATCTATGTTGTACTTCAAGGGAAAAAGAGAAAGGGATTTTTTCATTAATGGCATCATGGAAAAAAAAAATTCAATTGAAAAACTTCCAGATTGAGCTGTGTTGATTTTAGGGTTGAAAATAGTCACGCCATTTATTTGTATGACGCTCTCGAGTACTGAAAAAAGTTAAACTATATCCAGTATGTTGCCTGCATACATCAGGAGTAACAGTGACATTCAAAAAATTTTAAGCCAGAAGTCACTTTTTTGGTTAAAACTTGAAAAGAAGGGCTGTCTGATTGAGTATTAGATTCTTAGTCCAGGACCATCCCGAAGGTATTACCATGGTAGTTTAAGGCACTTATTTTTTGAAGCCAAACTCTCTGGATTTGAATCCATTAAGTCTTGCCACTTACTAACTATGTACAACGGTTTACCCCTCTGTAAAATGGGTCTGCATTCTACAGGTACTATTGGATTAAGTGAGTTAATATTTGTAAAGTTCTTAGACCAGTGCTTAGCACACATACCAGCTATACAAGTGTTAAATATATGACCAAAATAAGTAAGACATGTGTTAGTGTCATATCTTAGTTGCCCAGTGACCCTCTGGAATCCAGAAGGGCTGTTTCTCGTTTCTCTTTTTTGTTTAGAAATTTATTTATGTATGTATTTATTTATTTATTTGCTGTATTGGGTCTTTGTTGCTGTGCCCGGACCTTCCCTGGTTGCAGAGAGCAAGGGCTTCCCTTTGTTGCGGTGCGTGGGCCTCTCATGGTGGCTTCTCTCGTTGCGGAGCACGGGCTCCAGGCACGTGGGCTTCAGTAGTTGTGGCACGCAGGCTCAGTAGTTGTGGCACACAGGCTTAGTTGCTCCGCAGCATGTGGGATCATCCCGGACCAGGGATCATACCCGTGTCCCCTGCATTGGCAGGCGGATTCTTAACCACTGCGCCACCAGGGAAGTCCCGGCCTGTTTCTCTTTTTAACAACTAAAATGTCTTCCTACAAGACTTCCCCATAGGCCGCTGGGTCAGAGAGAAAGGTGATTTCAGCCAACCAACAGGAAACCTCAAAATAAATTCATAGAACCTAGGAGTTTATTTTGCTCATTTGGTTAGACTTACCTCCATCCTTTGGTTTGGCAGTTGGTGATGTATATTGGTCAGGTGGCCAAGGATGTCTTGAAGTGGCCCCGCCCCTTCTCCCCTCCTGTTGTGAAACTGGAGAAGAGAGTGATTGCTGAGTATGGGATGCCGTCCACCCACGCCATGGCAGCCACCGCCATCTCCTTCACCCTCCTTATCTCTACCACGGACAGATACCAGGTAAGGCGCAGACTCCACTTCCTCCCGTGTAACACCATCCGTACGATGAGGCAGCAAAGAGTTTCCCTTCAGGATTTTCTTTTTTTGAAGGACTTTGAAGTTTATGAAATAAAGATGGGGAACAAAAATTTACTGAGCAGTCAGTGACAATGTTTTTATAAATGAAGTGACCATATGATTTAGTACCCAAAGCAGGTTGTGCCCAAGAGTGAAAGTGGACACCATTAATAATGACAACAGGGGCTTCCCTGGTGGCGCAGTGGTTGAGAGTCCGCCTGCCGATGCAGGGGACACGGGTTCGAGCCCTGGTCTGGGAGGATCCCACATGCCACAGAGCGGCTGGGCCCGTGAGCCACAACTGCTGAGCCTGCGCGTCTGGAGCCTGTGCTCCGCAACAAGAGAGGCCACGATAGTGAGAGGCCCGCGCACCACGATGAAGAGTGGCCCTGGCTCGCCTCAACTAGAGAAAGCCCTCGCATAGAAACGAAGTCCCAACACAGCAAAAATAAATTAATTAATTAAAAAAAAATAATAATGACAACAGCACCACAAACATAACCAGGGTGTGTGGCATCCCGCTTCTGAAAGCATTTTCACCCTGAGCTGCCCAACCAGATGGCACTGAATAGGTGCTGTCATCCTCTGTTTGCAAGAGACTCGAGGCGTTTATGATCCTAGTGAATGATCCTCCAGGGCTGAGATGATTTCACCAAATCCTCCAGCTACATGTCCCAGGGCCCAGGGTGAAATAGCCTGTTCCCAAATTAGCCCCCAAAGATGTCTCTGCCTTTTTGGGGGGCTCAACCGTTAGAAATAATCATTCCATATTTTCTAGAAAGCTGTCTAAATGACAGGTGATTAATAACTGTTGAAAATAGAAGAATTTCACTTAGTATCTGCTTAAATGCCAGTTATAGTAAGACCTTTCAAAAGCTATACTATTACTGCAATGAAGATTTATTTTTCCTTTCTGAGAACTCTTGCTCTAATTTTGTGCTTAATTTCAGAAATTTTACCTTTTACCCGTTGGAAAATTTAGATTTCATTAACTCCAGCAGCCTTGTATGTAAATGACAGTACTGCTTCTCCTGCCCCTCTACACCAGAAACCCAGGGATGTTCCATGTTCCAGGTTGTACAAAAATGGGGTGTCAGCCTGATGTGATTGGAAGAGGATAAGATTAGTGTCAGGTCCTGGCTGTACCTGGTCTGCTACCTGGTCACCTGGGGTCAGATCTCAGTTTCCTAAATGGGAAAAGGACAAGTGTATAGTATCATATCCAACTAGGTATAATCTTTTTTTGTAACTTAAATGTCATGCCAGGATCAAACAATGTCTGAGCTCCCCAGTACTATCGGAATTAATTGAATGCAGACTTCTGAGCTATGGCATATCCCGTGCCGTCTGCCCCAGAAGGACATAGTGGGCCCAACACTGACCCCCATCGGGCTGCTGTCAGCATCAAGAGAAGCCTGTGAACATGCTTCTCTTAGGAAAAAAAATCAACAAGTGGCGCTGACTGCAGGAAAGCAACAACAATCATTTATATGCTCATTTTAAGGCCACCTGGATCTTCTTAAAAATGTCTTTACAGCTTACGTGATGAAACGATTTTCTTTTCCTTTTTATTTTTTTGGCCACACCGCTTGGCATGCGGGATGTTAATTCCCCAACCAGGGATCAAACCTGTGCCCCCTGCAGTGGAAGTGCAGAGTCTTAATCACTGGACCGCCAGGGAAGTCCCACAATAGTTTTCTTAAGGCCTGAGTTGTTATGCACTTCTTTCCTATTTAATTTTTTAATAATAAATGTATTCAGCTTTTGGGGTTATTTACTCATGAGTAGCTCTAAAAATGGGTTTATTTATATAAATATGTGTTCAGGCGAATACCAACCTCTAAATTCTGAATACATGAACTCATTAATTTTCAGCACTTTTTTGATTAAAATCAGAGACCCAGTTAATGATAAATCTTAAGAAAAAATGCACAACCCTGTGTTATTATACTCAGATGTTGCATTGGAAGGAACATGCTGGGCTTGTACTCAGAAGATGTGGCTTCTTGTTCAGACTGTGTCGCTACTGGCTGTGTGACCTTGGGCAAGTCATTGTACCTCTCTGAGCCCCAGCTCCTGTTGTGAGGGGTGCTTGATGGGCAAGCATCTTTGTGCTAAAGTTCAATACTAATGCAACTTATCAAGGTTAAGGGTTTCCTCATCTGTGGACTGGGGCTAGTAATAGAACCTATTTCATACGGTTGTGTGAAGATACATGAGATAGTGACCATAAAGCACTTCACATAATATAGACAGTTCTCTATCGTCTTTATCCTTATTACCACAGAAGACCACAGACATCAGTAGTTGAAGCAACTGGATTATAGCTCTGTGTCTAGCTCATAAGCAGGATATTTGTGTGTTCTTTATATGACTCATCATTAGCCAGATTCCTCCAGCTGTTTTCATTACTCACGAGCAAATGTCAAGATTCAGTGAAGTCCGGACTCTTGCCTTGACATCTGTACAGAAATATGCCCAGTCTTAACATGGGGCCATTGTTCCCAGGCTTCCTCAAGAAGCTGGTTGTTGCCAAGCTTTATCATCACAGCACATGATGGGGAAGTAGCTAGTTGGACATCCAAATTACAGCACTGTCTATCTACCTTGCCTCTTGGAAATACCATATATTTCATAAGTTTTAATCTAAAAATAGGTAGAAATAAAAAATTATTTATTCCATTAAAACTTGTAGCACAATAGCTAAGGTCAAGTTTTCTACTGTGTCTTATTTGCATGTCAATATGTTGTGAAACTTCCTTCCAGAACTGTATTCCTAGGCATCTTCCCCTTCTCTTTCCTTAGTTTTCCCACTTTTCAAGTGATTTTAGATCATCAGACTGCTGGTCTAGGGAATATGAGATTGAGACTAGGAGTTAGGGGATCAGAAATCCTATTCCTTTCCGCAGCATCAAATTGTATGTGTCTGAACCTGACCTAATGTCCTTGTTTTCTCTTCTCCCCCTGCAGTATCCCTTTGTTTTGGGACTGATGACGGCTGTGGCGTTTTCCACGTTGGTGAGTCTCAGCAGACTTTACACTGGGATGCACACAGTCCTGGTAAGCCTTTGTGGGCAGGTCTTGGGGTGATTATCTGAATAGGAGTGTGGTTACTATGTGTTTATTAAGTTATTTGCATATGTAATTACGTTTCCCATCAGGCCAATGAATTAAGGAATTATTATCTTCTGGCACATGTATAATAATAGTAATGAATCATTAAAATGATATGAAGGAGGCTGAACTGGGCTAGACCCTCATGACTTGGAAGCTAGAATGGTAACAAAGATTCAGGTAGTTTGATTACATGCCGGTTTACCGATGATGCAGCAAGAGGTGCAGAAAAACACCCAGGGTCAGGGATGTGAGTGATGGATGAAGTCCTCCACTTGGTCCTCGAAGATGTGGGTGTGAAATTTGGGGGTCTCAGCTGCCCTTGCAGGGTAGGAGTCCCACCAGGTCAAAAGAGCCCAAATCATGAGCTCGCTTCCTTCCATACTGGCTTTGCGTTTAAAGAGCTGTCCATGTTTTTACCGCATTAGGCATTTTTTTCAGGGCTTCCGTAGTTAGCACAGTTAAAATTACTCAGTTCTATTTCCTGGTGTTCCAGCCAGCTACCCTGGAGTTGCAGAGCATAATGCTGGCCACGGTTTAACTATTTATCATCATAATTGCTGCAAGAAAGGTTTCTTTAAAAAGGATTAGGCCCTTGCTTATTGTGTTACTCTGCACGTGAAGCTGAAAAATTATGTTAGCAAAAGACCTCAGAGGGGGCTTCCCTGGTGGCGCAGTGGTTGAGAGTCCGCCTGCCGATGCAGGGGACACGGGTTCGTGCCCCGGTCCGGGAAGATCCCATATGCCACGGAGCGGCTGGGCCCGTAAGTCATGGCCGCTGAGCCTGCCCTTCCGGAGCCCGTGCACCACAACGGGAGAGGCCACAACAGTGAGAGGCCCGCGTACCGCAAAAAAAAAAAAAAAAAGACCTCAGAGGGAAAGGCCGGCCTTCACTGGCCCTCTTGTATCTCTTCCTGGTACCTGATGTCGGTCATCCTGGGAAAGGTGGCGGGGGGGTGTGGAACGGCAGAAGCCGCAGAGGTGAACGAATTTAGGGAGAGAGTTTGTCAAAATGGGCAGAAGAAGAGAACAGGGAGGAAGTAAACCCGGAGAAAGACGTTTGTGGCTGCATGAGATGCAGAGAGCAACGTCATGCTTTCCTCTTAAGAAAAAAACAAATTATAACTCCAAGGAAAGCGGGGACGTGAGTGGAGTCAGGGCTGGACCCAGGGTGAGGCAAGTCAGGCAGGAAATTGAAGGGGTGCCAAACAACTCCAGAATCAAAAGAAATGATTTTCATGCGATACTTAAAAAATCAAAATCAATGCAGAAACTTTCTGCAAAATATCCCAATCTGAAATAAAGTCCTGCATTTGTGTGACCTTGCTGGTTTTGCCCTACCCTGATCCTGGAGTGCTGCACGGTGCAAGGGGGCCCAGATTTTGAAAATACGACAGGAGCAATTAGGGGTCAGCCTTATTATCTACCTACCAAGACACGTCCCTGCTGTTCCCGTCCCATTGCACAGTGTGTCTCATGGCTTCTAAGACTTAAGGGGAAAGGGGAGAAGAGCATTCTCAATTTGCTACACCACTGCTCCTCATTATAAAGAGGTTCTCTCCAAATACGTCCACAGACTTAAATATGGAATGAAGCAGAACCCTCTCGGGTGTTTGAGTATTTCTTTTATCTGGGGCTACTTTTTAATTTCCATTGGTTTTAATAAAAAGAGATCTTAGGAACTCAGGTTAAAATTAAAACCAAAGTAAACATGAGAATGTGGAGCTGCAGACATGAATAGAGGGCACAGAAAACCCACCTCAATAAAAATCCAGCTACGTGTCTGTCTTTAGTTTTAAAAGTGGGTTAGGGGGTAGGGAAGCACAAATTTGTGGGGAAGATCGTTTAGATCTCTCTTTGAGATCTAAGGAATGGGTCCCACCACTCATTTTGGAGCATCCGTTCCAGAAAAAACTGGAACAAGGGGCAGTAGCAACTATTCCTCCCACCCCCATCCTGCTCCACCATTGCCGTGCAGGACTCCTTCACACGTACAATTTTGTCTCCTAAAGACCTGAGACCCTGAACTTCCCTGATGGTCTAGTAGTTAAGACTCCACGCTTCTAAAGCGGGGGGTGTGGGTTCGATCCCTGGTCGGGGAACTAAGATCCCACATGCTGCACAGTATGGCGAAAAAATTAAACAAATTAAAAGATCTGACACCCTGACTCAGGCCCAGGTCTGAGTCAGACTCCACAGCCACAGACATGGCCCAGGGTAGAATGGTACATAATTTCTAGTAGCAAAGGGGAATGGTTAGTTTTAATAGAAAGATGGAGTTGAATTACGGATTGGTTGTCTTTATTTAGCAGCAACTTAATAAGCTTCTGCAGGGTGACAGGCTTGGAGCTAGATCTAGAAGATACTGAGGTAAACAAAACCTACCTCACCCTCCCAGGTGTCCGAATCTATTGATGGAGACAGATGTATGAGCTACTGATTGCTGTCTGTGATAAGTACTATAATTAGCATGGAACAGCTGGATCAGGCCACCTAAGGTGGCGTGCCTCTCCTCTGGACTCTTCACATTCTCTAGGGACTGCCACACACTGGTGGTTCTCAACCTTGGCTGCACATTCAAATCCCATGGAAAACTTTAAAGAAAATATTTGGGGATGTTTGGACGTCTACGATCACAGCAGCAGCATTAGTCACAGCAGCCAAAATGTGGAAGCAACCCAAGTGTCCATTGATGTATGAATGGATAAATAACATGTGATGGATACATGCAATGGAATATTACTCAACCTTGAAAAGGAAGGAAATTCTGACACACACTACAGCATGGAAGAAACTTGAAGACATCACGCTAAGTGAAATAAACCAATCACCAAAGACAAATACTCTATGATTTTGCTTATATTCATAAAGACAGAAAATAGAAGGTGGTTCCCAGAACCTGAGGGGACGGGGAATGAGGAGTTATCATTTAACAGGTACAGAGTTTCAGTCTGGGAAGATGAAAAAGTTCTGGAGGTAGACAGTGGTGATGTTGCCCAACAATGTAAATGAACCTCATACCACTGAACTGTACACTTTAAAACGGTTAAGATGGTAAAATTTATGCTATGTGGGGTTTTTACCACAATAAAAGATACAGTCCTAGGCATTGGTGTTTTTTCAAAGTTCCTCAGTTGATTTCAGTGTGCAGCCAGGGTTGAGAGCCATCTATTAGACTGTCCCTTAGAGCTGGGCCAGGGCATAAGCCTGGACAAAAGAAGACTTGGAAGGTGGAAGGAAAGTGGGGGCAGGTGCTGTATAGGCAGCCACTGTGTCCACAGCGTGAACGGCTCTAATTGCACCCAGCTAGGAGGCTCACAGCACACGAGTCATTCAGGTGGCTACCAGCTTCATATAAATGGTTCTCCGTGCATAAACAGGAAGGACAGTTCACAGAGAGCAGTCATTTGCTTAATCTCGCCTGGTAAGACATCTCTCTTGTCAAAGGTGAGTGGTTTGCTGTGAGATCAGGCTTCTGGACAGGCTCTGGCTGACTCCTGGGCAGGTCTGAGTGAAGCATGGGGAGGCATTGAACCTGCACGTGGTGTCACCATCCGGCCAAACCAGCTCTGGCATTGCTTCTATCTACCAGGACGCCCAAGGGAGAAACTTGGGCGCTGTCCTAGCTCTTCTCTTCCCACACCCATCAGTCAGGTAGTCACCAAGTCAAATTAGTTCTGACTCTTAAAGATGTCTTAAAGCTGTTCTGACACCACTGCCAGGATAGTATTTCCAAATCTGATGGTGCTCTTCCGTGCATGGAAACATTTCTCCATCTCCTGCTGAACGTGAGGAACAACACAGGTGGCCCCAACTGGGGCCTTTGGGGGAATCGACCTTTGAGAGAAGTCAGCACTGTTTATGGCAAAACATGGAAATAACACAGGGGCCCTGATGACATTCTTGTACCGTACCTGGGGCCACAGTACCTGTAGGCTGGCTGTTCCTTATTGCCCAAGCTGATTTTTATTGAAATTGTACATTTCCCATAGTAAAAAGCATCCTAAGCAATGATTTACAGAAATAGATTTTGGTGTATAATTTCATGTTCCCTTGGTTTGAAAAGTAAACCAATTACAGCCAGCTGAAGGGGCAGGGGAGAGGGTAGAATGTCTTGGAAAGTTGGGGTAGCCCGTGGAATCCAACACAGATGGGGCCGAACAACTAAGCTTCATACGTGTCTTCCTCTCCCTGCAGAGTGCCACGGTGCACAGAACGCAGATCCTAACAACTTCTCTCTCAGATCCAGACCTTCACTCTCAGAGATGAAACTTTGATTGGACTGGGCGTTACCCTTGGGCATGGGAGCCTGGCAGGGAGGCAGGGTTGCAGAGCAGAGACAGGGCCCCAGAAGCCACCCCTGTGTGCTGCAAAGGCAGGGCCCAAAGAACAGGAACTGGAAAAACAACCCAGTAAGTAAGTTCACCATGATTGAGAGTGCCCAAACTCAAGTGGTTACCTTGTGCATGAGTCAGGATGCCTTGAAGGCAAATAACAGAAACCAGCGCAAACTTGTTGAAGCTGGAGAGGAAATACACTGTTTTTTTTTTTGTTTGATTTTTGTTTTTTTTTTGCGGTACGCGGGCCTCTCATTGCTGTGGCCTCTCCCATTGCGGAGCACAGGCTCCGGACGCGCAGGCTCAGCGGCCATGGCTCGCGGGCCCAGCCGCTCCGTGGCACGTGGGATCTTCCCAGACCGGGGCACGAACCCACATCCCCTGCATCGGCAGGTGGACTCTCAACCACTGCGCCACCAGGGAAGCCCTACACTGGTTTTTATAACCACACTGTAGGAAGGGCAGAGGTGCAGGTGGCCACTGGGAGTGTGGGCCTCTGGGTCTAGATCTTTATTGCAAGTCTCCCCCACTCTTTCCCTAGGTTCTTTTCTTTTCTTTTCTTTATGGCTGTGTTGGGTCTTCGTTGTGGCGCGCGGGCTTCTCATTGTC